GATGATGCCAGAGATGGGATAGTCCTCAGCTATCCAGTCCTCAGCTCGTCTGTCCTCTCATTTAGTATCTTCTCATTCTCTCCTGGGAAAGTGCTTCTACTTCCTGTCTCTAGTGCATCTTAGTTCTCAATTCCCTCCACAAGTACTGCGCATATGAAACTCAACAGGCACAGTGATCCTCAACTATAGTGGCATCTGAAATTTCAGGAAGGGGTCTTCTGGCTTCAAGGAGTACTTCCCTGCCCAGAGACCCTTCAGTGGAAGACACGTGTCTATCCCCTCTCTGGCATCATCATCTAGTGAGCATCCACTTCGAAAGCCTGGATGTCATCACCCCATGACCTGAGGATACAGATGCTGTCTCTCCAGTTCCCCACCAGGTCTGATACACAGCAGCATGACAAAAATTCACCTTAGGATAAAGACATCCTTTAAGGATAAAGAGTTCCTAATGCTTGTGGTTTCTAATTTAAAATCTCCTCAATTCATTCTCCCTCAGTTAAAAAGGACTTCCAGTCCTGTAATCTTGTTTCCCCCAAACCATTCTCCATGAGACAGTCAGATTTCTCGATTCAGAGCAATTCTTTCTCATCCTGCAACTAAAGATCCTTTTATTTTATTTTGATTTTTTTATGTAGGAGTACTGCTACTTATTTAGCCACTGACAAGTTGACTGAATTGGGCATGAACTCCACCTTACTTTTTTTTCCATAATTTTATTTATTTTTCTTCTTATATTTATTTATTGAATCACTGTGGGAAAAGTTACTAAGCTTTCAGGTTTAAGTCTTGATCATACAATGATCAAACACCTCTCTCTTCACCGGTAATCATTTTCCACCACCAAGAACCCCAATATACCCCTGTTCCCACCCCTCCCAATGCCTGTGAGGCAGATGATTTCCACTAAAGATCCTTTTAAATAACACAGAATGCAAATAATACCCGGAGACATGGACAGAAGGGTCAAGAGGACTCGTGTAGGAAGCTTGCTACAAAGTGGAAGGGAAGGGAGGCGGGTGCGAAGAGGAGGACAGTTAGGACAGAGAAGGGACCACTATGACAATGATAGTTAGAAAAGATCACTCTGGACAAAAACTGAGAAATGAGGTAAAATGATATACAATTTTCTGTAACAGTATTGCAAACTACAGTGCCTAAAAGGAAAATAAGAAAAAAAGCAAAAGAGAAGGGGGAAAAGTGTCTGTCATAGAGGCAGGCTGTGACGATGGAGTGGGGGTGAGCGCAAGGAAAACTGGGGACACTGTTGGCCGAAAAGGCACATTGGTGAAGGGATGGGTGTTAGAACACTGTATGATTGGGACTCAACCATGAACAACTTTGTAATTGTGTATCTCATGGTGATTCAATCAAAAAAAATTTTTTTAAAAAAAGATCCTTTTACAAATTTGTCAACATAACAAACACATCTATTATTCTTTAATTTTATTTATAGCATCCATTCTACACGATAAAACAACAACACAGCTATGACAGAAAGGATTGCATAACATCCACACTACCAAATGAATGTTCATCTTACATCCTCTTCCAAGTACCCTGAAATTCCCCTTCTATGGCATGGAGTCTATTATTGTCTGCTTCCTCATGGTCTCCTCAGCTCTCTGGCAGGTTTGAATGAGTGGCCACTGACCTTACACTCAATCTTAGTGCCCTGCACAGTTGTTGCACACAGTACTCAATTAGTATCTGATGAGGAAACACATGCTCAAGTATTACCAGTGACCATGGAAATTCATCACAGGAGGGTTTCCAAACCCAGCTGGTAGCCATAAATAGTTGCTAAGAGGATAGGCATACCATAAAATTATAGCCAACGTTTAATATAGTGACATTCTTTCTGTTTGCTTGTTTGCTTTTATTTTGGGGCCACACCTGGAAGTGCTCTGGGGGCCACACTGAGTGGTAGGTATTGCATTTGGGTCTACTGCAGGTAAGTGCCCTACCCACTGAACTATCTCTCCACCCTCTATAGACATTTTTGAGGGTGACTTTCAGACCATCTAAAGAACCAATCATCACCAAAACTGGAGAAGCATTACTCTTGGAGTTTATCTGGTTAGAATTCTAATAAAGTGCATTACAAACCAACAAAATTAAAAATGGAGACATAGACACAATACAGACCCATAGAAACTGATAGGTAAAGGTAAAGGTAAAGGCCCTCCCGTTGTTCATCGATTTGCTTGAGCAGGCCCAGTAACGTCTCCATTGGAGACTTTGTTGTTGTGTGTTTGGCATATCGAATATGTCACGGGGAGCTTGCCAGGCTCTGCCCTCTGCCGTGCGGGCAAGATACTCTCGGTAGCTTGCCGGGCTCTCCGAGAGGGGCGGAGGAATCGAATTCGGGTGGGCCATGTTGGCTGCGTGCAAGGCAAATGCCCTACTGCTGTGCTATCGCTCCAGCCCTATATAGGAACTGATATGATTTCAAATCTCTGTGAAACTTCTGATGGAGAAAGGACAAGAATTGAGTGCTAGAGGACTGCAGGGGGACTAAAGAAGGACAAATGATGCAAAAGAATTCACAGATGCAAAACAGAGAAAAGAAACTTCTATCGGTGCTGCCATTTTAGACAATGGCCTCACATCGCCAGTGTGCAAAAGGCTGTGTTCATTACAAAGAATGCCAGTGTTGGAAGATATCTGCATGACTGGGACTGTTGCAAACTGCAGCTGGCCACCAGGCTGCTGACTTGAGGACGGCCTGTTCCACCGGTCTCGTTGCCATTTCAGGTCTTACAGTGAATCTCTGTTTGGACTCCGACCTTCAAGAGAAGGAAGGAGAAAAAGAAAAAGGCAGACACGACCTGGCTTATAAGAAGGTAAGTGAGCGAGAAGAGTAGGTCAAACGTTCCTTCTTCATTACCACTGTTCGCTACCCCTTTGGGGGGATGGGTGGCACACCCATCGGTGCCCCCAGGCTTACTCCTGACAGAGCTGAGGGGCTACAGGCAGTGCTGGGGATTGAACCTGGGATGGGGATGATTTTTCTCTCACTCTATTCCTTTTGCCCAATTACAGCACAAGTTATGTATTTTCCTACTTGCATTTTAGAAAAATAAGAAAATACGAGTTCAAAACAGTGGGTAGGGCGTTTGCCTTACAAGCGGCCAACATGGCCGACCCAAGTTCGATTCCTCCGCCCCTCTCGGAGAGCCCGGCAAGCTACCGAGAGTATTCGATATGCCAGACACAGTAACAACAAGGTCTCCAATGGAGACGTAACTGGCCCCGCTCGAGCAAATCGACGATCAACGGGAGGGCCTTTATTTATATATGAGTATTGAAAGCAGTTTAGTTTTTAAAATGTCATGAGTATCCTCTCCCATTAAACACTTAACGAAGGAAAGAAATGGAAATTTTTCTTTCCTCTCTGTTAATTTCTCCAAAGCTGCATGAAATACTATGCATCCATTATGCTTTAGAAAAACACTAACTTTTATATTATAACAACTTAGGGAAAAGATTTCAGCAGCAGCGACAGGCTGAATCTGTAGTGTTTTGGGGCTGCTGGCCTAACCTTCACTATCGTGACACCCCACTATGTGGGTACAGCCCTTATATTCCAAAGGACCGTGACAGTGAAGCATTCCTGACGTGGGCATGGAAACTGGACCTGTGATATATCAGCATCATCTTTCACACAGAAGAAATGAGAGGCAAGGGACAATGAAATCTGGCCCAAAGGCAGAAAGACTTCACTGCCCGCTATCTCAGCACCTACATAACTGTGGGGTGGAGGTGGGGCTCCATAATTCTGATAGCTGCTAAGCCAACTGTAGAGCAATGTGATGGGCAATTACCTCACAGCAATTCAAAAGAATAGCCCTGCAGAGACAGACAGGGGTGAAAGCCTCATGACATTACTCCAAGGACTAATAATCTGATGGCATCTTTTTTTTTGCTGGAGAATCCCAATGTACAAATGAATGTATTTGTGATTGTCCAAATAAGGTTTTAAGAAATGAGTATGTAAACAAAATCAGACTTCAGAATTTTCTTTATAAATTTATTTTAATACTTTTGGGGTAGGGGTGAGTGGGGTGGGGTGAGTCCACACCTGGCAGTGCTTGAGGGGGCTTGAGGGGCAACTCTAGGCAGTGCTTGGGGGCAATCGTGTGGAGGGGATCAAACCTGGGGGTCCAGCTTGCGAAGTGTGTGCACCAGCCCTCTGAGGTACCTCTCCAGCCTGTCTTCGTATTTTGGTATTTACTAATCTTAGCTTAAAATTTTGAGGTCCTAACACATTAACATGATACATTAGTTTCTTTTATAAGAGATAGGGTAAAGACTTTCTTCCTTTTCTTCCTTTTTTTAAAAAAGAGGTTTCAGTGAATGGTACTGGGGCAGTGACCAGAGCCACACCTGGTGGTACTAAGGGAACCCTTGGTGCCAGGAATGGAACTAAGAGCCACACACATGCTAGCCATGTGCTGTACTATATGAGTTAATTGCCTTGCTACTCTCTCCCCAATATAATATCGTAAAAGAGAGCGACAATTGAGGATTGCTCTGGAGAGATACCTGATAAATTAATTTATATTGAATTTTAACTTAGGGACCAGTTAACCTATGTGAAAGAGAAGGTGGAAGGGGCTAGGGGATTGCTGAGGAATGGGGGAAATCACTGTTTTCATCCACCCTCCACCAGATCGTGTGTCTACTTGATGCAATCTTCCATTTAAATACATTCCCGGAATTCACCTTACAGCTGGAATGAGTCCTGCTCAGCAGTCTACTCTTGGTAGTCACTTTTGCCAAGAGGAGATGCTAATGAAACTGCTTGTGATTTATTGGAGTCTTGTTTAAGCTCTGTTCTGGTCATAGATCAGCTGAACAGGTTACTGAGAAGCTGTGCTTTTATTTTTCTCCAAAACAGTGTACAGGATTAGAACCCCTCTCATGTTCTGCTGGGACTGTTTTGAGAAGAGAGAGAAAGAGAGATGGGAACAGAAGAAAAAATGAAAGTCTATAACCTCGTTCACTGCCTGCTCTACTTGCATCCTTATCCTTAATCTTGACGAACTCACTGGGGCCGTCGTCTTCCTTAGGTTTCACTGCTGCAAGAGAGATCTGGGTTAGGACGGGCACTGAAGATGAGACCAAGGTTAATGTGGGCACAAAAAATGAGAATTGGGAGTGAGGCAGAGGAGGCAGAGAGTTCAGAACAGAAAATGAGTTGTTGGAGGTACGCATGATACGTCAACTATATACATATTCTTTCATTCCAGGGTGAAACTGGCAAAGCCAAATTATACTCACCGGAAAAAGGGACTACAGTCACTAAGGTAACATCCTCAGAGACTAACTGAAATGTGTCCATGACTAAGATGTTCTTAAATATTCCTTTTGGCAAGAACTGCTCTGGTGAAGTGTAATGTGGAAAAGCAGCATGGAACATGATGACAAGGGCGGGGATCACCTGGGAAAAGCAGAAGTCTGAGCCAACGGAGGCCCACAAGGGACTATTCACCTCAATGGGCCTTGCAGACTCTGATACCTCATCTCAGTGACTTGACCCAGGAATGCTGACACATGCTAATAAAACTCACAAGACACTGATGTCTCAAAAATACAAAACAAAACAAGCACACACAACAAAAAAACAAAAAAGGAAACTTTATTATCTGCAGTGAACAACAAAATGTCTGAAAAAGTCTCAATGGGAATTCTCTTTCTGAGAAGGCAAATTACAGGAAGGAAGCTCGATGAGCATGGAAGCAGAGCAAGTGGAGGGAAGGACCTGCATTCCACCTCCAATGGCAGGAGGCTCTGAGCTAGGCATAGAGCTAGTACCTGTCAGGTAACGTGCGTGCCTGAGTCATCCTGGCAGGTGCTACTGGTCAGAATATGCTTTGTTAAGGGCCATAACAATGACATCAACAACCTTTCTTTTCTGCTCTGGTCTCCACAGCAATATTGCTCTTTTGATGGAGACCTTTATATATATACATATATGTATACCACACACACATATATATGTATGTGTATATATACATGTGTGTCTTATATACACACACATATATAAAATATATTATTATTTGTATGTATGTTTGTATATTTTCAGGATGACAACATCCTCGATTAGGTAATATTCGAATCAACTGCCCAAGCAGTCTTTATGACTCAAGGGCAGATGGTCTCTCTTGGCTTTAATCTATTAGGTTCATTTCCTGATTTGATTTGCACAGTGTATTTTCATTTTTCTGCTTTCTGGGATCAAGAGGGGCACCATAAGGTGGGCTCCACCTTTGCCTACAGGTTCCACAAAGTGCTGGTCAAATTCAAATCAACCCGCATTCATTGTGCCAAGTTCATGCCCACTGCTGCTCCAGGTACATAATAATATTCAAAACCCAAGAGCCTGAAAGGAAATGCTCTTTAGCATTTCTGCTGACTGCAGAGGTACATTTCTTCATTTGTGCTGCACAAGAATTTGCAAAGCCTCTACTATACCAGGATTTCCCCAGTACAAGAGCTATAAAGAGAAATGTGACACAGTTTTGATGTCTTTAAAAGCTTATCGTCTACCAAAGAAGCAAGATGTGTTTCTTTAAAATAGAAAGAAAATGAAAAAACAGTGACAAGTACATTTCTTTAAAAAAAGAAAAAAGATAAAGGTCAGTGACAAATGGCAAAAGATGCCAGGAGAAGGGGCTGCTTTTGTAACTATGCAGAGAGAGGCGTTATACCTGTTTTTGAAGACCTGCTTTTTAAAAATACTAAATAATAATTAGCTTCAAAAAGCCATGACAGTGGAATGAAAATATAAGTTCCAAACCTACTTCCCCGTTCCTACTCTATCCCTCAAGGCTGTCCTCAATAGTCTGATAATCTTCCAGATCTTTCCTACATAAACAAAGCATATGCATATATAAATAAACTTCTGCCTCATATACATATTGATATATAGATATGGATAAGAATTTATGTAACTAAAATATCAACATATAACATTGATATATTACATTCCATTTATGTAACTCTTGCACACCGTTTTATTAACACTCACATGTGGGATTATACTACATATATACGGCTTTATAAGTTGTCTAATATTCCTTTGCTGTAAATTAAAACATGTAGATTGGAAAGGAGTCAACGCTTAGTTTGGTAAACATACTTCACAAAGCTATCACTAAGTTTTAAGTAGAAAGCTCTGAATACTCCCAGAAAGTCCTTCATCTACCCTCTAAAATCATTACGCTGGATTTTATATAAATCATTTCCTATCTTTTTTGTATGACTTTATTACTGGAGGCAAGCAAAATTCAAATGTGCCTAGATTGGCAAATATTTCACGACAGAAAGTCTCAGTTCTCAGGGCCTCTCTGAACTCTGGCTTTCTCTTACCTTCTTCGAGCTCTGAGCTGCTCTGAGGATATTTTCTTTTATGTAGAAACAGTTTCAATTATTTGCAGCAAGAGTCATTTAGGCTACTATTCTAATAGCCTAAATGACTGTTTTCTCCAGAAATTACATGTGTCACTTCTCAATTTCTTTCCATGTTATAAAGGACACGTAAAAGGAAACTCTCCCTACTGGCTCCCAGCTCCTTGGAGGGTATGAGAAGCAATCAGCTTTGACCACACAGCACAAAGAGTGAGGCATGCCCTAAGTAAACGAAGGACAAAAGCGGAAAAGAAAATGAAGATACCATTTTTCCTGCCCTTGGGGAGTTCCCAGTTTCATTTTGTGAAGAAAGACAAGCTCTACATGCACAAAACAATTGACAGGAAACAAGTTGAGGCAATAAAGAAATATGTTTAGAGGAAACCACTTGTATTCACCGACACGTAAAGATTTCCAAGATCTACTGTGAGGTGAGAGAGAAAGCAGAACGATGGTAGATGTGTATACCATAGATCTGTATCTATCTCCCACTTGTGTAAATAGGTATGTGCGTGTATGCATGTGGATACATGTCAGTGAGTATTCTTGTTTATGAACAAGTATAGGATGGGAAAGGCACAAGACAATGGTTACTTCTCACACTGGGAATGGGATGGCAGGGCCGCTCTTGTCACTGTCACACATCTTATATAGTTTGAGGAAGTGAATAAAGGTGCTTGCTTAGCCTGCAAACAAGGGACCAGGTTCCACCTCCAGCACTGCCAATTCTATCCTCAGTAATACTGGAGTAACTCCCAAGCCATGGGCCAGGAGTAGCCCCTGAGCACTACTGGGTGTGGCCCAAATACACATATAACCTCCCACCCAAATAGCCTATGTAATACTTTTATATAAAGCAAATGCTACTTTTAGTCAGGAGGAAAACTATCAAAGGAGCAAGCATATCCAATAATTAAAAAAACTATATATAGAAGGAAAATTAAACAGGAAGCCAATTTTTTTTAATATAGGAATACTGCTAGTTATTCAGCCACCGATTAGCTGATTGAATTGGGCAGGAACTCCACCTTACTTTTTTTTCATAATTTTATTAATTTTTTTTCTTTTATATAGGAAGCCAAATTTTTAAGGCGCCGAAGACACAGTTAGGCCCTGTAGGACACGCAAAGCTTAAAGCAGAGAATAAAAGTTGGGGGTGGTGGGGCAGGCAGAGAGGTGGGTAGGAGCTGTGTTCTGAGTACACACAGCCCAGAACTGAAGAATGATGATTGAAGAGAAGCATGGGAAGTTCCCCTGGCTAGCAGTAAGTCAAGTTTCATCTCATGAGAGGATTAAATGGATGGAGCAGGGCCACCAAGAAAGAGTGGACTGTCCTAGAACTTTGTGTTCATAACTGGTTTGCTGGGAAACAGAAGTCATTGTAAGCTACTCTGCAAGGAAGGATTAAGACAAAGTAGCTGCATGGAAGAATCATGTACAATGATATCAAATGTGAAAAATCTTTAGAAATCCATAAAGATCAATGGTCACATCAATAAGGTCTTCCTAATAAGCAAGTTATGCGAAAAAAAAGTTACATTTCAGGGAGATTCTCTGTAGAGAGTCCATGATGGGGAAAGAACGGGGCAGAGCCAGGAAGGTCGTCAACAGCAGGAGACTTGAAAGAGCTTGCCCAATTTTCACAATCTGAAACATGCAGATAACTGTCCTACTTCTTGGGACTGTTGTAAGAATTAAAAACACAAAATGTCATGGCAAAATGCATCAGCTCCTTTCTTCACAACTGCTATTATAGTCTAGATATCTGTTGAGAAAGAGTGGGACTGGTCACATGAGAAAGATAAAGGCCAGAGACTTCCCTAAATGAATAATCAATAAAGATCTAGATTTCCAGGCCAGAGAGAGAACTTGTCTAATGTGTTGTCAACCTTGGCTTGATCCCAGGCACCTCATATAGTCCCCTGAACACTGCCTGGGGTCACTCCTGAGCACAGAGCCGGGAATAGTGAGCACTGTCAAGTGTGGTCCACTCCCTCCACACCACACCCACAGAAAGATCTAGATCACTGACAGAAGATTCTAGTAGAACTGTGATGTTACTGACAGAAACCAAAATAGGTTCCCAACACTTCCTGGAGTTATAATATCTTACCATTTGAGTTTCACCTCACCTATCTCTCTGTTAGTCCTTAACTCTGAAGGGACACACCCTTCATATACTAATAAGAATGGTTTATTTTTAATGTTTTATGGTTTATTTTTAATGTTTTAGTTTTGAGGGGCAACAGACTAGAGAAAGAACAAAGGCTTCCAGTCTTTAAGCTATCTCCCTGGTCCCTGCAATATTTTAAATAAAGGTATATTTTTATTCATTTTATACAGAAAAAGTTTGTGGGGAGTGGGTTTTAAAATTTTGAGAAAAATTTCCATTTAAAAAGGTCCTGAGCACAGAGCATTAGTAGCCCCTGTGTACCACTGGATGTGGCCGCAAGCAAACGAAACTTCAAGATCAGTCAGGGAAGTGACTCAGTGGGAGAGGGTGTGAGCTCCTGAGGACAATCCCCTGCAAAACACACACACACACACACACACACACACATACATGTGCACATGTGCACACACAGCACACATGCAGGACTTAAGGGACTACAGTGCATGCTTTGCATGCTGGAGTGCTGGATCCTAATTCCGACACCACTAAGATTCC